AAGGGCCGTGCCCACCCGCCCCCTCGGGAATCCTCCCCATCCCACCCCGGACCTTCGGATCGTCTGCTCTGCTTTTCTCTGCAGGCAGAGAAGCCCTCATCTGCCTAACTCCTCACTCCTGTACCCAATGGGGTGAGCAGGAAGTTGGGAGATCTCCTGGGAAGGGGAGGGCAGGGGGGCCCGGCGTGTTGTGGTCCAGGCAGACGTGAGGCATCGGCACGACTTTGTGACGGAAGAACAAGCACGCATGAGAACCGTGGGGCCTGGGCCCCGGCCATGATCAGCAGAGAAGGGCGCCCGGGGGCTGCTCATGTGCGCCCCCGGAACAGTATGTTGGCAGCGATGATTCTTGAGAATGAATCTTTGGAAAGAAAACCTTCCCCGCTGTGCATTTGGGGCATGTTGTACCCCAGGACACGGGCCACTCCGTCAAGCAGGACTCGGCCTGCTGCCCGGAAACTTTTAAAAACTCAGTCTTGGCTGCTTGGAGGTGTTTGGGCTTCTGAAGCTGTTAAAAACCATTCTAAAAAATTCTGCTTAGGCCACTGCTTTCCTGGAGGTACTGGCACACCCTGCTATTTTTCTCGTCCCGGGCCCAGACCTGACTGCACCGTTCCCGAACAACAGCCCTGCGAGGTGGGGTTGGCTGTTTGCCACTGACTGGCCCCCAGGCAGGGAGCAAGACCCACGGACAAGTGGGACCGCATCCTGCGTCTCCCCGGCCCCAGGCCCGCAGGGGAGGGGCCCTCAGGGCCAGAGCATCCCTGCTTATCCTGGGAGCTGCCCCGGAAGGGTCCTGCTCGCCTGGAGACAGGGGCCCCCTCCCTCCCGCACCGCCTCTCGAGAGACTCGATTCTGCTGGTTCGTGGCCGGCAGCCGCCCCTGCGGGTGCCCGTGGCCAGGAGCTGCCTGGCTCAGGCAAGCTATTTCATGCAAATAGGAATTTGTTTTGAAGGGGGCCTTGGGGGGCGGAGCATCCCGTCTGAATTTGGGGATCCTTGCTTAGTGGAGCACCCCCCTTGGTTTGTATGAGCCCCAGGGGACAGAGCTCCCCAACCTACTTTGGGGGCCCCTTGGGGGCTGGAGGACTTGCACATATTTTGGAGGAGCCTGGGCTGCCCATGTGCCCCCACTTATTTTGGGGAACCCGTCGGGGGAACAACACCCCACATATTTGGGGGGCGGCCCAGTGGGGTCGCTGAATGCCTGTAGCCCAGGTCACTCCCTCCCCTCCCCCCCTCGCCTCTCAAGGGACTTGTTTTCCCTGGTTCGGCTTGGCACCCACCCTCGCTCCTTCCTCCGCGGAAAGACGCATGTCGCCAGTCCACATAAGGCAGCCCCTCTGGGAGTTTCCCTGCTGGGGGGGGGGGGGGGCGATGGACGGAATGGGAAACGTCCCCCATTCATACGGAATGGAATGGGTGCTGGAAACACCATCCGGAGCTGGGCCGCTTCAGCTCGACAAGAGACACGCTCCGCTCGCGTTCCCTCCCCCGCAGAACCGGCCAGGAAGGCCCGCCGCTCCAGGGGCGGTCCTCCCCGCGGTCCCAGCACTGGGGGCAACTAACCCTCCCCGCAACGTTCCGGCACGGGCGCCCAGCAGGCGAGCCGCGACCCCAACCGGCACCTTCGTGTCCTGGGGCCGAGGGGAAGTGCTCGGCCAAGAGGCGGCGCGGGAACCGCCGATGCCGAGTCCCTTTGCGGAGGCCAGGAACCGCTCAGCGGCTGGAGGGGCTTCGCGAGGCAGTTCTCCTGCCTCGCCGCGCATCCAGCCATGTGCAGGGGCTCGCTGGCCCCGACCTCATTTCCTTCCACGGCTCCAGCGCGGCCCAAGCTGGCCGTGAGCCAAGCCAAATTTCCCCAGAAGGTTCAATATGGACACGGGTCATGCTGTCCGGCCGGCCCCGTGCGGCTCCTCCTGGCAGGAGGGCCACAGGCGGATCACGCCAGCCACTGCCCCCGCCCCCCCCCCGAGATCGGCAGAGCGCAATGCGCAGCCCCTGGTGGAGCCCCCCTGCCTGCGCCCCCCAGTCCCGGCTGCGCCCCTCCTGCCTCAGCCCTGGCGGGGCTCCGTTCGCCATCCGAGCACGCGCCCCAGGGGCAGGTTTCCCGCAGAGGATTCCCTACAGCAGCACAGGCGACTGGGGCACCTGCCCGGGTGCTGCCCTTGCGGGAGGTGCCGCTGCAATTCCAGGAAATGCCCGGGAGGGGTCCCCTGCCCGTGTGGAGCAGTCAGTAGGCATCCCTCTCGCCCGCGGACGGGTTGGGGGATTATTTTTTGTACGTCCCACAAGGCGGCTGACAAGTGCAAATATTTATTACTTATCATTATTAATACAGAGCGACTTTATTTCTTCTTTTATTATTTGCATTTATTTGCCACCCTAATAGCCCAGAGGGCTCTCTGGGTGGTTTACAACATTAAAACCCACTGATCCTAAACAAACAAATAAATTATCTATACCACGACTGTATAAAATAATATAGTTGAAATAAATCGATAAAAT